GCTAGGAGCACCCTCTTCCAAAATATTTCTTCACCTGTAGTAAGCTAGGAGCACCCTCTTCCAAAATATTTCTTCACCTGTAGTAAGCTAGGAGCGCCCTCTTCCAAATTGTTTCTTCACCTGTAGTAAGCTAGGAGCTCCCTCTTCCAAATTATTTCTTCACCTGTAGTAAGCTAGAGGCAGCGTCTAAAAGCTGAGCAGGACAGTTCTTACCTATGAGGGGTTCACATGAGTCAAAAAAATTAATAGCATTCTAATGCACTACTTTCCCCTTCTTGGTCAGGAATTGACATCATGTGAGTGAATGCTTTCATCTGCACTGTGTTTGTCTTGTGTATTCCTGATCTCTAGTTGCTAGGAAAATAATTTGTGAATACAGCCCTATAAAGGAAGGAGAAAGAGAAAAAAACCCCGAAGCTCTTCAGCCTAGCAGATGACATGACACACATACATGACATAATGGGCATTCATAAGCTAGTGGGACCACAGCATTTCTGAGTTCTTTTTTTTTGAATTGAATGTTAAATTCCCAGAGAACAACTTTATCATATCCAGTTTCTTCCTCTATTTCTCAGTATGGTTTGGGGTCTTTTAATTGCTCAAAGCGTTAAACCTTTGGTATTCTTTTCATTGTAAATGTCCTGTCTCCTTGTGCCAGTGTAGTTTGTGTGCTGCTTTTAATGCTATTACAATACTCAACCTTTCAACTATATCTTGGTTTGCGTAGCCTTTTACATAGTTGACACTTGGTTCTTTTCCATGTACGTAGACAGGAATTGGGTGTTCACAAAAAAAGCATCAGTTCAAGTATAAAGAGACATGTAAAGTGTGTCGATCTTTTTTGTTCTCTAAAAGGGCATAATGGTACCATGTCCAAAATTTTTTGAGTCTGATATATAGCATAATGTTTAGCAGTGCCTTCTGAAAGGACCCTGTGATGCTGCGGCTTAAGCTTTGGACTGCTAGCAGGGAGGTGAGGCACCCTGCTCTGGTCAAGGTTTCTGTCTGGGAAACTGGAGCAGTTCCACTCTGTCCTAGGGTCACTCTGAGGATGACGACGATTGTGATTTTGCTTTGGCAACTTCTGTAGAAAAAACGCTTTGAAGAAGCTGGAGCTTTTTAAACAGCCTGTTAGCCCCTCTCACTCCATTCCATTACTTTCAGGTTTGAGGCCCTTCCTTTAAAAGTAAATCCATTTCATGATTTATTTAAAAGCTGTGGCATCACTAGTCTTTTCTCATCCTGGTAGCCAGTATTGGTATTTTGATTGTCTAGTGCTTTCAAAGTTCTGTAACTGTACCGCTGTCTGATATGTGAGTCATTAACCACAGGTGGCTGATAGAATTAAAGTCAAAAATTCCATTTCCCAATAATCCCACCTAGATTTCCAGTGCTCAGTAGCCACATGTGGCTATTGCCAACTTTCATTAGACAGTGCCGATACAGAGCACATTTACCATCTGTAATGTACTGTTTTGGAAAACTTTAGTACACTTCAAAGTCTACACATGTATAAATACTTTGTTAAAGTCTTTGAAAGCATTTTAAGGTAGCAAAATTTTGTTCACTGTGAAACCTCCTCTTATAAATAATATATACATTACATTGCTGATAATTGCTATTGTGATGGCTCTTTTTTAAAAAATCATTTTATTGGGGCCTCATACAACTCTTATCACAATCCATACATCCATCCATTGTGTCAAGCACATTTGTACATTTGTTGCCCTCATCATTCTCAAAACATTTGCTTTCCACTTGAGCCCTTGGAGCCCAGCTCCTCATTTTCATCCTCCCTCCCTGCCCCCCATCAATCTGTGACAGCTCTTTTAAACATATTGTGCATTTAAGATGAAGAAAAAGATGTTCCTTTCTTATTTCCACTTACTCCTATACTCTTGCTTTGGGGTGGACAGGTTAGAGGGGGAAGAAATGAAGAGGGAGATGGGAGAAGGCCCTAGAATGGTTCATAGTCTCTGAAGTTGGAGTGTAGAATTCTATCTGATGAACTAAAGAATTGTTTCCTACTCCCCCTCACTACTGAAGGTGAATATTCCTGTGGGTAGATAATACGTAGTCTAAACTTCTCTTTTAGATTTGTATGGGAGAATTCTGGCAGCAGCACATCAACAGACAAGCCTAAATTACTGGTTCTTAGTAAAAAGTATGAACTGCTCATCTATGAATTCAATTTGAAAGATGGAAGATGTGATGCAGCCCTTATGTGTAGCTGCAATAGGGAGATGTTACAGAAGCTCGTGGAAGATCAAAATGCCAGTAAGTTTCTACAGGGGATATTTCAGCATGTTGAACTCTTGTGACATTATTAGGTAATTGTGATTATTGCTGTAAAAGCTTTTGTACAGTTGGAGTCAAGGAGAGATCCGTGTTTGCCAAATGGGTGATACTGCCCCCTGGAGGTTTCTAGAATGATCCTCAAAAAACCGAACTCACTGCCATCTATCTAGTCATTCCAACCTCATAGCGACCCTACAGGACAAGGTAGAACTACCCCTGAGGGTTTCCGAGATAGTAGCAATGGGAGTAGAAAGCTCTGCCTTTCTCCCACAGAATGGCTGGTGGTTTTGAACTGCCGAACTTGCAGTGGGCAGCCCAACACGTTACTCACTACACCTAAAATTATCCTGGGGGACTGCGAAAGCAGACACCCACACTTTATACTGGATTGTGGGCTATAGTACAAAAGTTTTTAATTGCCAAGAAGTTGCTGAGTTATTTTTTCCTAAAAAGGGAGGAATAGGCCTTGGGAAGCCATGATCTAAATTCACATTCTCCAGTGCAATAGCTACGAGTTCCATGGGGCACTAGAGTCGTTGATCTTTGTTTGTTTGAATTAAAATGCATTGGGTCTGTGAGTTGGCATCAACTCAGTGGCAGTACGTTTTTGGTTTTTTAGGTATATGTCATTTACTTAGTATATAAAAAAGTAAAATATGGTGATTTTCTGTTATATTTTGAAATGGTTACTTTAGGTATATTAGACTATATGATTATAATTAATTTTACTTATTTTTACTTTTTTGATATTACATTACATATCTGGCTTATATCTGTAGCTTGTAATATTTTCTGTTGGGCAGTTCTGATATAGACTGCTTATAGAACTGTTGACTCTGTGTCAGCCTCATGACTGCAGGGAGCTGGAATCAGTAGTGCGCGCGCGCGCGCCCTCCCTCACCCTTGCTTGTGCATTGGGTCTTGGGGATTCCCCAGGGTAAATAGTCTTCTTTTTGAATATTTCTTCTACTCTGTCTTCAGGCTGTAGCCCTAAATTGAAGAATCGGGGCTGCTGTAGACAGTTTTCATATTCATCGTTTACCCTCTTCCCAACCACCACTTGTTCAGTTGGGTGTGAGCAGTGTCTGCCTAGAGCAATGGTTCTCAACCTTCCTAATGCCGTGACCGTATAATGCAGTTTCTCAACGTATTAAATGGTTGGTGACCCCAACCATAAAATTATTTTCATTGCTACTTCATAACTATAGTTTTGCTACTGTTATGAATTGTAATATAAATATCTAATATGCAGGATATATTTTCATTGTTACAAATTGAACATAATTAAACATAAAGCATAGTGATTAATCACAGAACAATATGTAATTATATATTGTGAAATATTTATGTGTTTTCTGATGGTCTTTGGTGACCCCTGTGAAGGGGTCATTTGACCCCCAAAGGGGTCTCGACCCACAGGTTGAGAACCGCTGGCCTAGAGTTTAACTCGGCCTTCCCCCTTTGTTTTGCCTGTTTGTTTTTATTTTTACAGAATCAAATTCACCAATTGTAAAATTGTGACTAATTAAAATAATATCCTTTTGTCCCATAGGTATTTCCATATCATCTTTGAGGATTCTGTCATTTCACAATAGCACATCATTATTATTCATCAACAACTGTATCGTCCTACATATTGCGTTTCCAGAAAGAGATGCTAACATTAGAGTACTCAACTTTTTCACACTACCTTTGCCTGCACAAGCAGTGGATGGAATTGTTGATGCACAATTATGCCGAGGAATTTTTTTTGTTCTGAATAGTTTAGGCTGGATCTGTATCCTTAATGATAAAAATGTTGATTGCTAAGCAGAGGAAGAAGGTACATAGACAGATGAGCCGCCTTTGGCTTTTCATTTTAGGGAAAGTGGTTAAATTGTTTTCAGAAAAAGCTCCTCAGGGCAAAAGTTCTTCATGTCCTTAAAATATGCAGCTCTTATTGCTTTGTATCTTATCTGACTTTTTCAGTCTGTGCATGTTTTTATAGTTGTGATCATCATAGCCCTACTTGTTTGAGTTGTTTTTAAAATTGTATGCTTTAACTCATTTAAAATATACTTATTGAATCTAATGTATATTGTTTCAGGATGGATGGTTTTCTCACTTAAGCATTTATTTTCATTTATGGATATAATAATAGTCCACAAGTATTCCATCATATTAATGAGCATGGTTTACTTAATTTCAATTTGATTCTGGATAATATTTTTATTTCTTTGTTTCTAGCAGATCTGTAGGTCATTAGCAAAATTATTTTGAAGATTTTTAAAATGCCCCCATATGTAAATTTTGGATTTCATTTCTGAACTAAAGGAACAGCTTTTATATTTTTGCTAAATCATATTCTGTATTAAAATTTCTCTTTAAAAATATACTGAATTCACTCCATTTTTGTTTCCAGTTATAGAACTACACTGTCCATCATGGTAGCCACTAGCTACATGTGCTGTTGAGCACTTGAACTGTGGCTAGTGCTACTGAAACTGAACGCCGCATTTTATTTAGTTATTTGTTTTCCTTAAAAATGGACATTCTGTTCAGTTATTGGAAAGATTTAAGTATATTTGAAGCAACTTTGGTTGTCCCAACTTTTTGACTGTCAATTTTATGAAGTATGAATATGAGGATGCTTCAAAAATGTTGTGAAAAATATTCCACTATCTTTTAATTCCATATTTCCCCTGAACTTTTTGAAGCTCCCTCATTTAAATCAGATTATTTCTGATGTAAATTTATTACCCACACAAGGGTGGGATGTGGGGAGGGAGGAGAAGAAAGAGGATCTTATATCAAGGGCTCAAGTAGAAAATGTAGAAATGATGGCAACATATGTACGAATATGCTTGATACAATTGATGTATAAAATGTTATAAGAGCTATAAGAACCCCCAATAAGATTATTTTTTTAAAAAAAGAAAAGATACCATGCAAATTGAGATGTGTTGCAAGTGTAAAATACATACCAGATTTTAAAAACTTGGTATTTTTAAAAATGCAAATTACCTCATGAATAAACTTTTATAGTGATTTTATTGAAAGATAACATTTTTAATATATTATATAAATATTAAAATGAGGTTCACCAGTTTATTTTTACTTTTTTAATGAAGCTTCTGGGAAATGTATGATTACAAATGCAGTTTCCAGTCCATTTCTCTCGGTCGGTGCTGTTCAAGAATGCTGGTGGGAAATGTTAGGGCTCCCCAGGGCTGGCACAGACTGGTGATCACGTGTTGCTGAGTGAACTCTGTCGAGAAATAAAAATGTTTCCACAACATGTTTGTTGCACAACATTTTTGAAGCCCCCTCTTATTTAGACTTCATAAAATTTACAGTCAAAAGTTTATTGTACCCCACATGATTCTTCACAGAGCGATTTCTGTCCAGCCTTCCTTCTGTTGCTGTACCTACAATATTAGATCGATGAAGCCAAAGCTCTCAACTGTCCTGGGTTTTAAATTAGGCATATTGAAAACCAAGATTTCTTTAACTCTTAACTCAAAGATATTTTTGACACTGTGAATGGTGCCCATGTAGCTGATGTGGATTTGGCATTGCACCAAGAAGAGACGTGTGGTGAGCAGCCGGAGGAGCCAGCCGAGGTGTCTTCCTTCACGTCAGTGAAAGTGTCTCAGGACCTGGATGTGGTTGTGATCGTCAGCTCCTCCAGCTCCGCCATTGCGCTCAACTTAAATCTGTACTTCAGGTGCGTAGATTACTGCAGTTTCGAATTGGAGGCCAGTCATTAGAGCCATAGAAGTTAGTAAGTTTACGTTTAAATAAGTCACTTTCATTTGTTAAACAGGTTTCATGTTCTGTTAACCTAACTGACATTCTAGCCACTACTCAGTAGAGTGATATGTACAGTAATGTGTGCAGATACTCTCAGGCAGTGCTTTTACTTCTGGATTCACTTCAGAGTTTGCGTTTCGTGTGGTCTGTATTAGTATATATGGTTTATACCATCATATAAAGATTCAATCAAGCACAGTTTTAAAATCCATTGTTTTGGGTAGGATTTTTTTTCCTCTTCCTTTTCTACCCCCATTGATTTTTTTATGATTCTCTACTTACCTCGTACCCTATACTGTTACCGCATAGTCTGCCCTTTAGGATCACTATGAGTCAGAATCGCAATGGCAGTCAGTTTGTTTTAGGGGTGTTTCCTTACTAAAACCCCATCTACCTATAATTTTATACCCATTTTACAGTTGTTATCTTCCTTGACTTTTTTGTATCATTTCTAAGCCAAGTTTAGCACTTAATTCTGTAGTCTTTATGTTTTCCTAATTTTTCATGTTATGTCAGTGGCTCCCTGTAAATTCCATTCCGTGGTTGGTTCTTTCACTTCCTTGTCAGTGGCTTTTTCCTGTACTTTACCTTAGCTGCCCATGCCTGTAGCCATTTCCTATTTGAAACTGCCCTTTCCCCAAATCACTGCTTTAACCTCTGGCCACAGTTTCTCATCCTTTTCAGCTTGCTGGCTTCAGTATCTCCACTTCACCTGTCGTCTGACTTCATTGGAATTCCCAGTCTGTTGACCTTCCACTTCCATCCATCTTCACTTCCCTCTTTCCACTATACTGTCTATGAGTCTTCATTTCAGTTGGTTTCTCCAGTATACTGCAAACTTTTGTTGCTAGTTTGGTAGTATTTGACCTGGAAAAATCCCAACTGTGAGTGAAACTTTTTCATTGCTTATAACCAAGCAGCTGAGCACTCCTGAGAAAACTAGAAATTTTCATATCCTTATATTTTTAAATCCATATACCCACCTTTGATCTGTTATTGCTTAGAAATTTCATAGTGATTTTTAATTTACTTCTGGGTGCGCAATTCTGTTTCATTGGCCTATGTATCTATCATTGTATCAATACCGGACTGTTTCACTACTGTAACCATGTAGTAGGTTTTGAGATCAACAGGTGAGAGGCCTCCTACTTTGTTCTTCTTTAATAGTACTTTGCTTATCAAAGGTCTTTTCAGTTCAAGCTCCAAGGGTAAGGAAACCCAGCTCCCTGAATTAGTGCCTAGAGGCACCCAACTCTACTCAGCTCCACTTCTAAGGGTGAGCAAGCCCACCTCCCCCAATTAAATGCCCACGGGCACACTATTCCACAACCCACTCTCCTGCTCGAAAGCATTCCGTTTTACTCAGTGGGGCTTTCATGCTCTGACTATTGGTCCTGCTGCTGCTGCTCCTGCTCCTCCTCTTCCTCCTCTAATGTCACAGCTGTCTTCTGGATCTAGGAAGTTCACTGCACTGGGATCCTGAGGTCCAGAGGATGTGCTCCACTCCTACCCCTTACTGGTAATGAGATCTCCCCTCCTGCTTTATACCAAACAGGATGGCATTCCAGTGAGTCCCGTTCACAATTACTTACAGGTGAATCCTATCAGTATCTTACCAGATTCGTGCAGGGAGTGCTCTTTAAATAATTCACTACCTTTGTATCCATTCTTTTTTCTTTTCTACAATAGTTTGAGTAGAATTTGTGTCATCTCTTCTCTGAATGTTTGGAATAATTTACCGGTGAAACCATCTGGGCCCAGATTTTTTGTTGTTTTTTATTGGCCTGATCGATTTTTT